CTTTGCTTCTTGCAGTCTCTGGTAGAAACCAAAGGGTCAGAGGTGGAGGCCTGCCTAGACCAGGACTTTGGGACCCAAGCTCTGCTCGTCATGACTCCCCCGCGGCTGAGAGAGCAGCTCCCCAGCACGGTGAGGCTCCATCCTTCCTCGCGGCGGGGGAGAGGGACTGACACGCAGCCTTCCTCGGCAGTGGCTGAGCACAATGCAGATGGCACCCTGCACAAAGAATTCCTCTCAGCCGCTTCAGCTGCGGCGTCACAGAGGAGCCATCCTGGCTGCTTCCGGGGGCTCAGTTGTGACCTCTCCTCCACAGAAGCCCCCCGTCCCCATGGCTGTCCTCCGCCGTTTCCCGTTTTCGTCAGCTCTGCGAAGGATGTGCGTTCTGGGGAAGGCTCCCGGCAACAGCCCTGTGGAGGCTTTCATGAAGGGAGCGCCGGAGACGGTGGCCAGTCTCTGCAAGAGAGAATCAGGTCTTTACCCTTGCCCCCAACTAGCTCCCCGCTTAACCCTTGCCACTGTATGGTTTGCTTTGTTCTGAAGTGGGAAATTTGGCTACGGAGTCCCTGGGAAGCTCAGCATCGCTTTCCCTCAGAGAGCGAGGGATCCGGCACGTCCCCTTCAAGGGCGTATGAGGGGGGCAGGGGGATGGTCGTTCTCATGCTTTGCAAGTCCATATCTTGCTCTTCTAAAGGCCGCTCTCCCCTCTTGCCTTGCAGTCCCGCAGGATTTTTCCCAGCAGCTGCACCAGTTCACAAGCAACGGGTTCCGTGTTCTGGGGCTGGCTTACAAGCCCTCGGTGGCCGTGGGGACCTTTGAAGAAGCCCAGGAGGTGACCAGGTGGGTGGACATGCAGGTCCTTGCGCTTCTTTCCTACCAGCCCGGCTTCCAGGTTTCTCCCTGGCAGACTCGTTATTTCACCCTTTGGGTGACCTCCTTAGGAGACTACGAGAAGACCCAGATAAAGCACTCTTGACTTCAGCAAAACATTAAAATACCGGTAGCAGTTTTAATGTCCGAGCTCACTGAGCGTGGGATGGCACGGAAGCCACATCGATTGCTCCTCGTTCGTCCCTGGCCAAACAGACAGAGGCGTCCTCGTTAATGTTATTACATGATGAAAAGTTGATAGAGGGGACAATTTATCGCGTACATGGCTCACCTGGATGGGTTGGGCAAGAGCAGTGGAATCCGACAAGATTTTTGCTAGAGAAATTCACCGACGAATGGGGAGAAATGTAAAGTTCTTCACTTGGGTGAAACGGGAGAGATCAAATGCAAAGGTGGGATGAGGGATACCTGGGAAAACGTGAAAAAGACGGTGGATGGGAGTTCCTTGGAAGCAGAGTATGAGCTGGCTTATATTGAGGAAAGACTTTGCAATCGACTGATGAAGAGTGGACGGCGCTTCTCCAAGTGCACCCAGCCAGAGGCTGGGCAGACAGGCTTTGTGCTGGATTTTGGCACTGCAATGATGCAGTGGGTCCTGGCAAGGCCCGCTGACGGACGCTTCCTCCTTGGGCAGAGACTGGGTGGAGGCGGACATGATCTTCCTTGGGCTCCTGGTCCTCAAGAACGTCCTCAAGCCCGAGACAACACCCGTCATCCGTGTGCTGCGCAGTGCGGGGATCCAAACCGTCATGGTCACAGGTGAAAAAAACGGGGGAAGGGGCTGGGAAGTCTGGGAGAGAGGATTCTCTTCTGCCTGCAAGGCCTTGAATGGCGGGGAGGAACGTTGGTGGCTTCTAGCTGAGATGGGCAGCTGGGCTCAGATCTCCTTTTGCCTTTAGGGGACAACATGCTCACTGCAGTGAACGTGGCGAGGAGCTGCCAAATGTTGGAGGCGCAAGAGCGGGTGGTGTTTGTCAACGCTGCGCCGCCCAGCCACGGCAAGCTAGCTGCCCTCACCTTCACTCCTTCTGATATCTCTTCGGAGCAGGTCAAGGTCAGAATTCTCCCTGACCGTGGCTGTCTTTGGGGGGAAGTCAGCTTGTCATAGTTGCGTCTCTCCTATCCAAGCTTCAAGAGCTGACAGCCTGACATTAGCAAAGGCAGGAGCGGGGGAGGGAACGATGGGACTTTTAAGGAAGAAGGGGAGGATGGAAGCACAACTGATCCGTGTGAGCAGCTACAGCCAGCCAAGGTCAAGTAATGATGTGCAGAACTGGGAACCGAGAGCCTGTTTCCTGAACAATATACAAGCACCTAATTCAGTGATGGCGAACCTTTTAGAGACCGAGTGCCCTAAAACTGGCCCTGTTCCCACTCCACACCCTGCCCCGCCCCCGCTCCGCCCCCCCACAGGGCCACTCACCGCCTCCAGGGCCTGCTGCAGATCGCCAGGCAGCCCAGCAGCGCTATGGCAGTCACGCCCTCTGCCCGTACCCTGCAGCATCAATTGTGCATGATGGGGTGTGAGGGCAGAGTCTTGTTACGCTGCCTGGCTGCCATGTCCTTGGCTGCGCTACTCCGCATGGGCCACGCTCAAGGGTGACTCTCCTTCAGGGGGGCTGCTGGAGAGGAGGGGGTCATGGGGGGAGGCAAGGCTGGGGCAACGGCACGTGTGCCCACAGAGAGGGCTCTGAGTGCCACCTCTGGCACCCGTGCCATAGGTTCGCCACCACTGACCTAATTGGACATTTACAGATAACGGGGGGATGGCCGGAGAGGAGGGGGTAAAGTATACTCCTGGCTTCGGTAAAGTATACTCTTGGCAAAACCAAACGGCCAGGAGTCGTTTCTTTGCTAGCTGACTGAGTGGGATGGTTGACCGTCGATGGGTCGTGCCCAGCCCCAGCTAGTATTTCCTTCCAGACAGAAAGGGGAGGTGTCCGGTGTAACATGAGGGAGGGAGGGGGAAGAGGAAGCCCTACCCAAAGCAGGCTCCTGCTGGCGCGGGATGCCAAGCACGGATGAAAAATCCAACCGGCTGCGGGACCGTTGCAGGGTGCCCACCGCCAAGACGGCGACTTCCAGGAACAGCAGCCGTCCTCCTTCGCCTTGAACGGGAAATCCTTTGCGGTCCTCTGCGAGTGCTTCCCAGCCCTCTTGCCCAAGGTAACGCCCAAGAGGGAGATGAGCTGGTTCACTCATCCCCGGTTTCCTCAGACCAGCCATCCCTTTTAGCGGGACGCGCCTGTTCCTGGCCTTCTCCCAGGGTCCTCGTGACCAGCCTGCCTTACGGCATCAGGCTGATGGGGAGAGTCGAGCTGGGCCTCCGCTCGGCACCTAAGCAGAGCCGGCCTCTCTATCTCGCGGCTCCTCTTTCTCAGTGGCCACAACAGCTCCCGATTGTCCGAGTTGTTCCCCGTTTCCAAAGAAGCAAAGGCACAGCTCTCTCTCTCTCACACACACACACCCTTGCTGTCCTTTGCAGATATTAGTCCAAACGACTATTTTCGCACAGATGTTACCTGATCAGAAAACTCGCTTGGTCGAGCATTTGCAACAGCTGAAGTAAGTATGGGGGCTGGAGGCAAGATTTCCCCACGTCCCTCTGGTGAGTGGAGAGAGCAAAAAAGGGGGTGTGGAAGAACGGGAAGGATCTGGTCCCGAACATGCCCCCCCTCTTGCAAACCTAACGCCTGGGAGCTTCAGAGTTCGGGAGGGAGGACCTGGCCTGCGAGATCGAGCGTAGCCAGCATCAGCGTTGCATTTGGAGAGAAGGGGAAAGCAGCAGAAGTTGCAGCTGAAAGATACTAAGAGTACTAAAGACCGGCTCTTCCCCTCCACACCCTTTTGGGGGGGGAGGAAAAAAAAAGCAAGGTGGGTGGGAATCGGTCTTCCGTTTTAAAGAACGACTGCCTGTGTTGCCTGCAGCTACTGCGTGGCGATGTGTGGCGACGGGGCCAACGACTGTGGGGCTCTGAAGGCAGCCGATGTGGGCATCTCGCTCTCCGAAGCGGAGGCCTCGGCAGCAGCACCATTCACTTCCCAGATGGATAATATCAACTGCGTCCCCATCACCATTAGGTAGGTGGGATGGACTGCCAGTTGCAGAATTGATGGCCCCCCCTTTCTCCCATCCAGGTTCTGCTCTTCCTGAAGAGGCCGGGGTGTGTGTGTGTTTTGCTGACCTCTTTGAGAGAGGGAAATTCAAACCCTGCCCCTTTGCCGTAAGCTGCACTGACCATCTTCCCGGCTAAGCAGTGGGAGTCCCCTCTGTCAGGGATCCAGGCTTATCTTTTCCCCCAGAAGTAGGAAGAGGGGAATCCTTCTCCCTTTGTCGTATCTGTCCAGGTTTCCATTCCCAGAGTGGCCTCAGCTTGGGGTGGAGTTTCAACCGTTTTGATCCTAGGTGAAATGGAGCCCTCAGGTCTTCCTGCAGCTATCAGTCCCCCTCTTCACCCCCCAATTTTGCCCTAGGCCTCTGGACAGCATCCAGGGTTGAGTTGCTTCTTGGGGACATTCAGTAAAAGACGCCGTGTTTAAGGCACACCCGTTCGCAAAGAAAGTGTTCGTTGCCTGGGACGAAGTTTCTGAGTAAAGCATTTTTCCTCCCTTGAGCTCCTTCACCCCGCGAGCCCAATCCCTGCTCTCCCAGAAGGGTGACTGGCCGCTCTCTCTCGTCTTTAGGGAAGGAAGATGCTCCTTGGTCACCTCCTTCGGCCTCTTCAAATACATGGCCTTCTACAGCCTCACGCAATTTGTTTCCGTGCTCCTGCTGTACACGGTAAGATGGCCATTTTCCTTCCTGCCCTTTCGACTCGCAGACTCTCTTCAGAGTCCAGGGTGAAGGTTTTTATTTATTTTATTTATTTTCCAACTTCTATGCCGCCCTTCTCCCCACGGGACTCAGGGCGGCTCACAGCATGTTAAAAAACAACACAAAAAACATTTCCCCTATAAAACCAATTAAAAACCAAATATATTTATGGCTGTGTCATTATTAAAATCTTTAAAAATTATTCCCTATTTAAAATTCACCCTAGGTCAGTCCCGCTTGTT